CCCCCTTTTCTTAATCTTGGGCTTCCCCACGCCCCAAGCCCCAAACCCAACCCCCCCCCCCACCGCCTCCCCCTCGCAGGCAAGAAGCGATTCAGCAACAACCGGTTCGAGGACCGCGCGGTCGCGGCGGCCAAGGCCACCGAGGATGCCGAGTTCCTGAGCTTGGTGAGCCAATCCCTTCCCGCTCACCGCCAACAACAGAGCCACCACCAACCCCCCACCAGTCCCCACTTCTGGCTTCGCCACTGCTGCTGCCGCCACCGCCGCCCTTGCTCACGCCGTCGCCGCCCACGCCGCGCCGCCTTGCCACCCCCTTTCGCCGCCCAGTTCGGCCCGGCCCCCGCACACCCTCTTGCCCCCTACCATGGCTTCTCAGGCAATCACCACTCTGCGCCTCTGCTCACTGCGCCCCTTCCCCTCCCTCCCCCCGCCGCTCAGATTTTCACCCAGTCCGCGCTGGCGGCGGAGGCGGAGCAGGCGGCGGCGGCGGAGGTTGCTGCCTGAGCGTGTGTGGGGAGAATCGGGCATCCCTCAACAGCAGCGCACCCGTGGGCCGTGCGGCGTGCGCCGTCTACGGTCTACTTTGCGCAGCGATGGGGACACGCACACATTCGGTGAGTTTTCTTTGTGTAGAGTCGTTTGCGCTGCACGCGTGTAATAGAAGACTAAATATATAGAAGACGAGGGCGGAGACGGTAGTGCGACGGTAGACGGTCGGGGGAACGTGCAAGCCTGCAACGTCGCGAACGCGCATCGTGCGGCGTGTGTGCGCGGCTGCGCTCCTCACTCTTTTCGCAAACGAGCCAACTCCCGGCACACGGCCACAGCCCACCCCCGGCGCCTCGACAGCAAGTCGCGACGGCAGCGCACGGTGGGGCGGGGCGTGGGTGGGGACCGAGAGGCGGCGCCGGCGCGCGAGGGGCGAGCCCCGCTCGGCGCGGCAGCAGAGGCCTAGGCTAGCTTTTTGAAGAGGGTCTTGGAGACGCAGGAGTCGACGCAGTGGACGTAATCGCCGTACCACCCCGAGCACTCGCCGCTGCCCTGCGCATCCCGACAGGGGCGGGGGTGGAGGGTTTTGCACGGGAGACGGGAATCGAACGACGGCAGTTTTGCGTGTGCGGATCGGGGCACGGATGAGGAATTGCGGAGTGGAGGGCAGGCACGCCTTCTCCTCGATGCGAGCAGCGCACGCCTGGTACGTCTCCAGCGCCTTGCCACACGACGCCTCGCACCCCTTCTCAAGCAAGTCCTTCGGGTCGACAACCTCGACCTCGCGCGGCACAAACATGCCACCGTACCTGCACGCGCGGCGGCGGCGGCGGCGGCGGCGTCACAGCCGAGACGGGCGCGAGTGTCGAGGGTGGACGTGCGGCGGCGGCGCGGCGCGGCACAACAAGCCTTGGCTCCGCCATGCTGACTGAGCGCTGTGAAAGAATTTAAGCAAAAGAACTCTCTCTCCTAGCACACAGGCTCGACACAGGTGCGAACTGGCGCGTGCTAGTACCGGCACACCACCGGAGCCGCCTAAGCGACTCCGTTAAGAACGGCAATGCACTTAGCACCGTGCACACAATGCCGCTGTCCCCGCACGCTAGCTCGTTCACCGTCTGCCGCTGTGAAAGAAATGCGTGTGCCGTCACACGCCGCCGGTTCACTCCGCCCGCGACGTGCGGTCCGGCCGGTCTAAAAAATAAAGAACGAGAACCAAGGGAGGGATGGGAGGACGGCACGCCCGCCACCACACAGGGATTTTAAGGAGAGGAGTGTGGTGCTAGCCGTCGCCCACCCTCGGGAGTCTACCATTCCGGCCCGTCTAGATGGCAACGCTAATGTTTTCTCGTTTTCATTGGTTTCGGCTGCGCACTCAACCAAGCGCACTCAACCAAGGGTGTGTCGCTCTCAAGCGGACCACCACCGACGCCCACCACGGGCTGGTCTCGCGCCCTCGCCGCCATCACGCACTCACCACCGCCGCCATCATACCACCGCCACCACACCACCACCTTGTCCCACTCATTGCCGCCACCTCTCGCCGTCACCGCTTCAGAACATCATGCACGCCCTCTCCCTCGTCGCCGCGTCGCTCTCGCTCGCGTCGGCGCTCCAGATCGAGCCCACGCCCGCGGTGAAGCCGCTCCTCAAGCTCCGCGGAGGTCTCGGCGGCATCGACGCCGGCCAAGTCGCGACAATCGTGCAGGTTGGCGCCCGCTCGTGCTGCGCCCTGTATTGCCCGACCAGCTCTCACAGCTTTCGCCACTGTTAGGGCATCAGCGCCGCCAACGCCGGCGTCATGTCGCTCGCGCCCAAGAAGGCCGGCGAGATGTACGGCGTCGCGCTGACCAAATGGACCGAATTCTTTGCTCAGTGGTCTGGTGCGCGCGCCTCGCTCTGCAGCCGCTCCTGCACCACAGCGCCAGACCCCAACGCCACTCACCGCCAGACCCCACCGCCCCCTCACCGCCAGTCCCCACCGCCCCACTCACTCTCAGACCCTCCGCCGCCTCACCGCCAGACCCCACCGCCCTCTCCGCCAGACCCAAACGCCCCCTCCGCCAGACCCGACCGCCGCCTCACCCGCGCCGCAGGCATCATCATGTTTGGCCAGGTCCTCACGGCGTACCTCCACGCCGGCGGCATGGCCCTCCCCGAGGCGCTCGCGTGGGGCCTCCTCCCGTCGTGCGTCTTAATTAACTCTAATTTGCTCCTAATTAACTATTAATTAGGCGCTCGCGTGGGGCTTCCTCCCGTCGTGCGTCTTAATTAGCTCTTGATTAGCTCTTAATTAACTATTAATTAGGCGCTCGCGTGGGGC